TTTACAAACGGCAGCCCATATCTCCCCTCCTGCTCACACAAGCCACATGTGTTATTGTGTGTTTGTGTGTTTGTGACTACGCACTACTCATGGTGTTACTTTAACATCACATTACCCATACATGCCTAAAACTTTAAATTGTTTGGAACATAAACTCACATCTTTCACTGCAGATATAACTCCCCAGAATGTAATGTTGTGTATTTACACAGAAGATATTCTTAATTTGGGTTTAGCTTCAGAAACAGCATAAAAACTTTATAAAACAGAGTGAAACTTTCCTTTAATGTTGCTCCAGTTGCTATTAAGGATTTTAACAGTTTTGGGCACAGTTCCCCTAAAGCACTAATAGGGGAATTAATTTCCTGATTAGTGCTTTAGGGCTTTTGTTACTTTTAAAATGTATTAGTGGATTAGCACTTGCTAAATTTATAGACTAAATTTAGAAGCACTAAGCGAGGTCTTTAAATGTTTGATGTTAACAGCTGAGCTGTCACACATTTTGTTCACATGTGTCCCTGATCCACCAGGTGACAATATGTGAACCCAAATCCAGCTGTGGAGTCAGTGATGAGTCTGAAGAGAGCTACACACAACATGTGACTCTGTTGAAGGATGTTCATGGCTTTATTTAGTACTTTACAATCAGCTTTAGCTAAATCTTTCAGGAGTTAGTGCTTTAGAATTAGGGGACCTAAATATGTGAGTTAGTGTTTTAGGGTTAGTGAAACTAATCTTTAGATTAGCGCTGCCCAACACTGGATTTTAACATATGGTTTACTGTTTTCATTTTACTCAGGTGACTTTTACTCCTTATGTTACAGTTTTTATTGATTGGTTTGACGCGGCCGTCAACTCAAAAACCKCATTTTCAAAACAGTTAAAGCAGAGGCCTAAACATTGACACAGTGGTCAAAATGACACATTTTGTTTGCAGAAGAAAACAACTGTGTCAAAACATTTAAAATATGGAACAAAAGCAAAGTTTGCCTTCAAACAACTCAACTTTGACACAATGCATGAGCACCGCCAAACAACCAGTACACAATGGGCAACAAGATACAAAATACATGTGAATCAGTGTACCGTTGCTTGTCATTGTAGCCTATGACTGTATGTAGCTTACATCCCAGTGC